CTCATGCATAATTGAAGTATGAACATTTGATTTCTACATTTCTTTTCCTTTTAATGTGTTCAGCAATGCATCTGTTTCCAGTTGGTCATGAACAGAGCAGGCCTGAAATTTTAGAATGGTTGTAGATATGGTTAGTGCAAGTTCTTTTTACCTTAAAATATTAAGCTTTGTTGGTACTGATCATATGAAATATGTGGTGCTTTAGTTATAAGTTGAGTGTTTTTTAAATCAAGTAGAAACACCCCAACACTAACGATGTCTTGAAGGCAACAGAACATTTATGAAATACAATACGTTCATGGCTTGATGAAGAAAGAGAGGTTTCACCCGACTGTTTGGGGTCCTGGTGCGGACTCCCCGCTCATTACCTGGACAGCCTCTGTAGTTCGGATGCAAAGTAGCATCACTCCCTTCACTTGTTTCTCTCCACCAGTATGTACTTTAAAGAAATGGGGGTAGTGGCAGCTTTTGTGCACATTTTTCTACTGATTCTCCTTCTCTAAGGTGCACACATCTTTTCCCTCCTAGTAATCGTTTGGCACTATGTAAGGCCAACTAGGGCCAAGGTGCTCTTGTGGCTGAATTCTTAGAGATAAAGTGATCTTGAACTTTAGATACGTGGAGGCGGGATGTGGGCTCCATGGCGAACAGTGGTGCCTGAGCGTTGCCGAAGAGTTCAGCATCACATAAGTCTTGACCGCTCGGTTGGGAAGATCATTGCTGCATATTTATGCCTTACTTAGGGACACTTTAAAGAAGTGTGTATAGACTGAGTCATCTTGGTTCAGAACTGAATGTGAGCTAGATAGAAATTAATGGGGACACAGTGGGGTTACAAAGGACAAGCCCTCATCAAGTACATTTAGTGATTTTTAGAAAACTAAAACTCTTGAAGACAATGTGATGAAGCTGTGGCACACGCGCTGTCAGGCCACAAAGAGCTCTCAGCCTGGTCAACCCCACCAAGGTCTGACAAATGACCAGCACACACACAGCAAAGATCACATGAACTGTGCAGCAGCAAGCCAAATGCAAGCTCTCAGCTTCTGATAAAAAGCTGTTGGTAGCATCGAAAGTTTTGTTACTGTGTGTTTATGATAAAAGATGTCAGTGTGTGACTTGCTTTTTCTAAACCTTAGTGTTGTGTTTAATTGCAGTGTTGGCACTTTGAGATAAATAAGTGGGCTTGGGGTTCCATCTTGGGTACTCAGTCTCTAAAAGGTTCATCTCCACAGCTACAGGGCTTGGACATAGCTGTTGTGCACCTTCTACTTTGAGCAATAGTGGGCTAGGGAAATCTGAGCCTCAGTAATAGTTTCTCAGGAGTCAAAAAGTACCCTGCAAAATGACATGAAGCTGCTAGGAGAGGTCAAGATCAGCTCCCTCCTTATTGTTCCTTTCCACTTCTGTGTCTCTGCTCTCCTTACCTCTCTAGCTGTCCAGGTGCACAGAGCCTTTCCTAAGACTGGCTGAGAACTGTCAGGACCCCCGACCCCTGCACTAGAATCACTCTACACGAGCTATGTGCATTCACTTTTAGAAAACCCAAGTGTAGATTCTCAGCTCATATTTCACTTCAGCAATCCATGGGAAACTTAGGCATAACAGTAATGTAATGAATAAGGAAGGCTTCTCATCTTCCTTTGCTGTTTGATGAGCTTGAAATGTCAAGCTTCTGGGGTTTTCCTGCAGTACCCTTTATAGTCCCCTGTACAGTAGGCAGCAAGGCACATGAAGCCAGAGCGGAACAGTAAAGTGTACTCTGGATTGAAGCAGCATCCACTCACTTCTAACGATGTCATATTGAATAACTTTTTACCTAGTTTTACATCTTTAAAATTAGAATTGGTATGCAAATTTAAAGTGATAGGAATACTTAGTCCACCACCTACAATATATATCTGTGTCCTCCAGGAAAATAATGAACTTCTAGAGACTAGGCTGGGCATCTGCTCTTGCGCCTATTCTGCAGCGTGCCTCCCACTGGAGCGTGTTGGTGGAACAGACCCTTTCCTTGGAAAGTATGAATCACACGAACTGCCTAATTTTATTTTCTTCTCTCCTGTTCAGCCTTCTTTGCTAATTTCACTCCACTGAGGACAGTAGATAGCTCCAGAACATAAAATTAAGTAGAAGGGATAATGTTATCAAACAGTTGCTAGAGAGATTACCTAAACAAATGAAGATCTTCCACCACAAATCCTGTGTGTGAGGGAGTGAGACAATGGTTGTTTGGTTAGAAATGTTTTGTGAAAACCAAGAAGCCTATTATTTATCGAGTGCTGTCCATGGAGGACATAGCCAGCGGATGGTGCACAGAGGGTCAGCACAGGGGAGCTGCAGCTCTGCTGTTTGCTGTTTGCTCATCTCTGAAGAGGAACAAAGGTGTCCTTATGTTAGATAGTTGTGAGAATTAATTAGGCTGGCTTTTGCGTACCACTGTCCCTGACACTCATTAATTACTCAAATATCTGTTATTACTGCCATCGCTATGGATGATGCTATGAATGCATCAGGTGATAGGGAAGCTGATATTCCTGTATTGACAGCCCACCTCTGTGTGTGTGTGTGTGTGTGTGTATGTGTGGGATGTGCACATCCTTGTGCACTGACAGCGATTCACTTTGTTCATTCAAGAGGAAGCATTTTTTTTCTTTTCATGCTAATGCATCCTCTCTTTGCCTTTACTTATTTTTTATTCATTTTTATTTTTTAAAGAGAATAAAGAAATAATTAAAAATTTAGAAATGGTACAGAATTTCGCTAAGCAAAATGATAGGCATTCAGCAGGGGTTGTCTTACCACTTATTGTCTTCAAGTTAGAAGTGTGTATGTGTGAGCATTTGTTCACATGCTTAATATTAAAGTACTTTTATAAAATTCTGAAATTAAGTCACTTGAAAGCATTCCCTAAATCTGCTTTATTAGTAAAGTATGATTTGTTTCACAAATTGAAATTTGCTAATACCCATTATTAATGCTTTCTAAAATAAAAAAAGCAATTTCTCCAGGCCAGTTGCTTAACTGGCTCTCTGGTGAATTAACTTCAAGTGGTATGGTTAAGATTTCCATTGAGATTAAAAATTCAAGTGAAGCCTGGTGTTGCATAAAACTATTTTACATAGAAAAGGGAGAAAATGGGAAAAGATGACAAGGCACGAGGGAAGGAGGAAGAGGAAGAAGAGAGCCCTGCAGCTGCATAAGAGAAGATAGTGGGTGTAATATATTTTGCATTTTCTAATTTAAGGTATCT